GGGAGGGGCCCAGGGAGGGCAAGGGTGGGTCGGGAGAGGAGGCCTGAGCTCAGGGGGATGAGGCCTGCCTGCGCCCTCGCGTGTGCATGTGAGTGTGCCCTGAGCAGAGTGTGTGACTGTGTGAGAGACTGGGGGGACCTGGGAAAGCGGGACGACCCCCCCTCCAAGCCTCCCCCATCAGTTTCTCCGCAGACGCTCTCCTCCCCGACGTCCTGTCCTGTCCGTCCGTGTCCGTTTCATCAACTAGAAAGATTCACCCAGGAGCCCCAGCTCCTCCTTGGGGGGCCTCCTGGGGGGTGCAGGGTCCCCAGCCACCCAGCCCTCTAGGAACCTGCCTGTCTGCGCTCTCGACCTCCCCCACTCGCCCCGGGGACTGTCCAGCGAGGACACTGGACACTTCCTTCAGCACCGGCTCAGCAAGGGCAAAGGTGACTTTCCCCTCCCCCCACCCAGGGCACTAATCAAGGCTGGGACCCCGAGTCCCCCCATCCCTCACCCTGAGTCTCAGCAGAGGGTGCGGAGGGGGTGGGGCCGACAGAAGCTTTGCATCTTTAATTAAAAAGTGATTTAAATTAATTTTCTGCTCCAAAACCCCAATCTGGGGGGCGGTGTGCACAGCAGTGATTAAGGGCTCTCCAGACCCCTCTCTGCCTGCCTTAAAGGGCCAGTGTCACCAGCAGGATAGTCAGTGGTGATCAAGAGCTGGGGGGTGGAAGGGCTACCTTGCGGGTACCTGGGACTCAGCCAAGGCCCCTGGACTCTTGGCCCACACTGGCTTAACATTTTCTCCACTATCTGCCCCCAGCCTGTTGCAGGGTGGGAAGACAGAGGCTCGGGAAAGGAGGACCCGGCTGAGGTGGGTCCAGACTCCAGTTCCCAGGGAGACCCCTGGAGATGGCCATGGGAGCAGATGTGTCCAGGGTGTCAGGTGACAGAGAATGGGGAGAGAAGGTACAGGAGAGAGAGGAAGACAGAGAGAGGCAGAGGCAGGTCGGGGAGACAGACAGAGCTGAGCCCCGGGTGGGGGAAAGGGGCTTTCAGGGGCCTGAGGATCAGGCCAGCATCTCTCCTTGTCCTTCCTCCAGAGGTCATGGTCACATCCACCCACCCCCCACCCCACCCCCCAGCCCTGTTCACCTTCTTCATCAGGAAGTGCTGCTGTGCCTAACCCCAGGTTGCTAGGCTCCACTGGCTCCACTCCCCTGGCCTCACCCCTGCCCTGGGCTCAGGGGTGGGGGTGGGGGTGGGGGGTCGTTTCCATGATGGGGAGGATGATGGCGCAGGGTGGGCTGTTTATGACACTCATAAAAGGCACCTTCCAGAGCCTGGCAGGGGTGCCACAGCCTTCAGCTGCCTCCTCGCTCTGCCTCCTGTTTCCTTTTCCTGAGTCTCTGTTCCTGCTCTCTATGGGACTCTGCCCCTTCTCTGGGTCCCTGTCCCCCCCTCCAGGTCTTTGCCCCTTTCTCTGGGTCTCCATCTGCCCATCTCAGGGGGACCCCCTCTCCTGATCTCATCTCCTTGCTCCGCTGCTGTTCCTCTGAAGGAATGGTCTGTGACTCGTGGGGGTCAGTTCTCTCTTACTGGCAGGAGTGTGGACCACGGGCACCTCCAGGGAAAATAGGATTTCCATGCCATTCCAGGGGTTCTCAGGTCTCCTGACACCTGACTGTACTCCCCTGCAGGAGTCTCAGGATCCCCTCATGTAGAGAAAGCCTGCACAGCAGATGTGTGTCACTCGCCTGAGAACCACAAGTTCCAGGCCAGCCTGGCCAACTCAGCAAGACCCTGTCGCAAAATGAAGATAAAAGGGCTGGGGATGTGGCTCAGAGGTAGAGCACCCCTGGCTTCTATGTCCAGTACCCCGCAA